CTGGGAATGATAAAAGTTCCGAAAACCTCTCCGTTAGGATGTTTGTTAGCACATTGGGGAGATTTGCAGGATGATTTGCGGAAGAGTCAGATGACTGAATACTGTAATCACTGGTGGCCTCTGTATACTTTGGATGATCAGGGAAAATGGCCCATGAATGGGACACTGAATTATAATACCATTTTGCAGTTAATGCTGTTTTGTAGAAGAGAAGGGAAATGAAGTGCCATATGTTGATTTATTTTTCCTATTGAAGACAAAGGAAGGATTAGCAGAAAGAATGTAAGTTGATTTGTAGAGATAATTTAGTAATGGCTATAACTTCTGATGATAAAAAGGTGAAAAAGTGTTGTTCAACATGTGAACTTGAAAAGATTGCTTAAAGGAAAGAATTGCTTCTACTGAAAAGGATGAAGGGCCAAAATTAGATATATACCCTCCGCAGAGAGAACGACATCGGGGGCAAGAATACAGAGAACAGGTAGAGGAACCTGAGAGTAGTGGAATAGAGGATGTGGCTGAAGGGTTGTCGGAGGTTGGAATTCATACCCCTGTATCTCGAAAGAACTCGGCAGCAGGTACAAACAATAGCTTCCCTGCGGCAGGGAGCTGACAATGATGGGCCGGTGTATGTGAAAGTGCCTTTTTCAGTCACGGACTTAATGGCTTAGAAGCAGGCAGCAGGAGTGTATAGAGAGGATCCTGAGAGAACAGGCAGAGTAGTAGATACTATCATCAGAACACAGAATCTGGATTGGAGTGATTTACAGGTGAGTTTAGCTAATTTGTTAGATGATACAGAAAACCAGATGGTATTAAAGGCTAGCAAAGCACAGTCAGAAGTGACTGTATTGAGTGGGACAACAGGTGGAATATTAGAGCAGAATTTTTCGTCTGGAGATCTGCAGTGGGGATCCAAATAATGTGGAACACAGAAAAAGACTGAGTCAGTATCAGAAAGGGATTTTATATGGAGTTAAACATGCCATGCCTAAGTTTCTGAGCTGGTCTAAATTATATGAGGTGAGACAAGATAAGAATGAATCTCCCTCAGCAATTCTGGAAAGACTAAAAGAAGCTGCCAGAAAAGAAAATAATGATTTGAGAGTAGAAACTGAGGCGGTTCAGATATAATTGCCTTTAATTTTTATAAGACAGTTGGTACCAGATATAAGAAAGAAACTGATTGATAAATTTTTGAAGTATAAAATCTTGGAGGAGTGTGAATCTAAATATAAAACTCTCATTCTACCAGTCAGAAAACCATCGGGTAAATATAGGTTAGTGCAAGACTTCAGAGCAGTGAATCAAATAGTTAAGGGTATATATCCTGTAGCAGCAAATCCTTACACGCTGTTAACAGCTTTAAAGGAGACTCATCAGTGGTTTACAGTGCTTGATTTGAAAGATGCTTTCTTTTGTATACCTTGGAGAAGGAAAACAGAAAATTGTTTGCTTTTGAGTGGGAAAATCCACAAACAGGACAAAGATGCAGCTGACATGGACAAGACTACCGCAAGGATTTCAAAATAGCCTGATAATTTTTTGGAAAACAGCTGGCAAAGAAGCTTGAAACACGGAAACGGGACAAACCAAAACCTGGACATTTGCTTTTACAATACGTGGATGACCCGCTGATTGCTACAGAAGATTTACCTACATACAGGTAACAAGAGATCTTTTTAATTTTCGGGCACTGAATGGGTACAAGGCAGCCAAGAGGGGGAAAAAAAAAAAAAGGCATGTCAGACTGTGATATATTTGGACTTTAAGATTTCAAAAGGGCAGCGGCAGTTAGGAACAGAACACTGAGAAGCCATGTAAGCCGAAAAATATTCATGAACTCTGAGTATTCTTAGGAATGACAGCGTGCTGCTACCTCTGGATCATGAGTTATGGTCTAACTGCTAAACTGCTATTTGAGGCCCAAAGAACTTCTCCTTTGACATGGGGCCCACAGCAACAACGGGCTGTCACAGAATTGTAACATGCTTTGATGTCTGCACCTGCCTTAGGACTTCTGGACATAACCAAAGACTTTCAGCTGTTTGTTCACGAAAGACAATGCCTGGCACTAGGTGTGCTGACCCGGAAGATGGGACTTTTCTAAACAGCTGGACACGGTGAGTAAAGGGTGGCCAAAGTGCCTTCGAGCTGTGGCTGCAACAGTGATGCTCATACAAGAAGCTCAGAAATTAACTTTGGGAAGCACAAGAACAGTCTGTGTCCCACAGATGGTGATAACTGTTTTAGAACAGAAGGGGGGACATTGGCTATCTCTGAGCTGAATGATGAAGTACCAGGTAGTTCTGGCTGAGCAAGATGATGTGAGTCTAAAAACACCTAACCTGGTAAATCCTGCAGTGGTTTAAGTTCCACACAGGAAGAAGAGCAACTGGAGCAGGACTGCTTGGCTACTATCGAGTATGTTTATTCCAGTCGAGAAGATTTGAAGGATGTAGCATTGGAGCAACCAGACTGGGAGTTGTATACAGATGGCAGCAGCTTTATAGAACAAGGAGTTTAATATGCTGGATATGCGGTAACAACAGACACCACA